TTTGCGAAGGATGCAAGACACCTGTCGAGGAGCACTAAAGTATTGGATAGTATACCTTTATCATGTCATTGCTATCTCAAGTTATTGTTGATCATTTGAAGTACTCACTTTGCTGTGAGCATTTTGTAGAGCTTCAACTGTACTGCTAGTGAAATGTACAAAATATTTCCAAAAGCCTATTTTTCTGGGGAGCAAGACTAAATAAGGTCAGATTAAACTTATGTGGAAAAGTTTGTTGATCTCTTAATGAAAATGGATGATTTACACCAATCAGATTTTAGAGAAATGAGACTTACATCACAAGGAAACTTTGACATTGCATATTCTACAGCAATGGGCACCAGCTTGGATACCTATTTGAGGAAATTTATAGTTTTTTAGACAGGAGTTTGGTTGTGCCAATTTTATGGCAAACAAATCATACATCAGTCACTTAAGAAATTTTAAAGCTCCATCCTGGAAGCTTACACACTCTAGAGGAACATGACAATATTTTACTTGATCACTCTTTGTATTCTTTCCCCAATGAAATTTGGACAAAATGTTCAAAAACGTTATTAGTAATTTTACAGTTGCAAATAAAGGATAGACGCAAGTTGCGTACAGCATAGGCTAGTCTTGAATACCAGTTTGCCACAGTAAATGTCACACCTATCCATTCTGTCTATAGTACCAACTATACATAGGGGGGTCACTTCACATCTCTCTAAATAGCGGTCAGAGAACATTAAAGTCAATTCCTATCACCAGTCTCAATTAACAAATAAAAATTGAAGTGAAATGCAAGTCAAATTGGTTTGACGACATTTTAACCTTAGTCAACATTTCAAAGAAACAAGGAGTTTCAGCCCTATTAAGTAATAATACGTTTGTTGTATCACTCGTCTCAAATTTTAAGAACCTAAGAGAGAGTTTCGTAATTTTTTATCCGCGAGTTTCAAAGTACACTTCGACTCCAATATTCATTTCGTATGGCAGAACCATTCTACTGAAATAAACAAAACAGAATGAAGCTGACGCCATTCGTTTCGAATAACACTTAAATACAAGTTTAAACTCGTGAGACAAAGCCCACGAATTTTTTTATAGGTAAATGCACTGGTTAGACCGAAAGCTAGCTAAATAAATAAACAATGAATTGACAATGGTGAGGGATTTAACGCAATTTTACTTCAAAGTTGAAGTAAACTAAGATCAAATTCTAAACTACCTTCTTGATTATCGTAACGAATATCTCACGATCGTCTCCACATACAACTTCGTGATTCATAGAGGTAAGATATCAACTTCTTAAGACTAACCTTCAAGGTTTGTAGTCTCATGTGCACATCTTGATCGTCAGTAAATCAAATCTCAAACATCAAGTTTGCGGCCTTTTTTCAGGTTTTGTTCGCCCTTTAATCATTAAAATATCTTCATCCGAAGAGCCAGAAAACTCCACGAGTATCCACAGAGTAAGAAACAGTGTTAAACTTTGCATACTCTCTCATCCCTCATCAAAAAATAGGGACCTTGAAATAGCAGGACGGAAGGAACCAGGACGGCTACAGGAAGCAAATTCGTATTAGCAAGCACGCGCACGAGAGCTCCAGTATCGCGTGGTTGCCGTCGTGGTCTTGCACAAGCGACTAAATACAGGAATGGCTCCGACCTGTGATTGGATGATAAAAATTGCTCGTGATTATTGATTATTGCAGAGGGCGCCATTTAGTGAGTTTCGCCGTTGGCGAGAACGTGAGAATTTTGTATCTTGTTTTGACTTGAAAAAACGTTGTAGTTGATTCCATTTTCAGATATACTGATGGTGATGTCTATAAACACAATATTTTTCGTGTTTTTATTGTAAATGACTTCAAATAGGAAAAAATATTTATAAATGTATTCATTGTGTATTTGTTTGTTATTTCAGTCGCCACTATGGATGCTCCCGCGCAAACGTTAACGACTGCGAAGAAAAGTAAATCAGAGTAAATATTAAAAGTTGAAGAATTCCTATAATAATTAAGTGTTCAAATCGATTAGAGAGAAGAAAATAGAAGGATAAATTGATGTTAAGTAAAATTTAGACAACTCGGTAATTGTTGTTTACCTCTTGCTGAGTTGTACTGTAATTAAACATTTCAGTCCGGATTCACTTGTTCCGTTTTATTCAAGAAGTTATTTTGATTATAATCTTCAGGAAGCCAATGGTGTGGAATACTGTACACGACGAGATGTTATGCAGAGAAATATTGGTTGTAGATCCCTTTACTGGGACGAAAAAGGGTACAGTGGAAAGAGGAACCTAGTGGGAAGAGGTCGCTCTTCCAGTGCCGTCGCGTGTCATTTGACCCATTCCCCTTGCGTCCAAAAACCACTCGATTTATTGACGTCATGTGTCGTCATGTGGTGCAGTGGGGCAGTGGTGCTGTGGTGCTATGGTGCGTTTGGATATGCCATGGTTGGCGAATCAAACAATTCTTCCACAGTTGTTTTAAGTTAGACATCCGAGACTTATCCTGAAACTGATCAAGTAAGTACTTTAAAGCCAACAAGATAGTACACAGTTACGGTCAGTTGATATCATTGACGAGTTTGCCCTGCTAGCGTTCAGTTTATGCATATCATGCTGAGCGGAGCTTACTGTAAAGGAAGAACTAAGTTGGCTGCTAAAGTACAGATGAATTTTCGGTAATTACTTCTTTGGCACTCTCCAGCGTCCAAATTCCCAAATCTTTAAGCTGACCTTTTTTGTCCCATATTACAAATGTTTTCCCGGGGAAATGTTTATCAGTGCGACTAGCATATTGAATATGCATATCTAATGAGGTTCTTTCTACGGACAAAATAACGAACATGAAGACATTAATGTTTTGTTCAATTACATTATTGTTATGCGTTATGATACAAGTCTTAAAATAAAATAAATCAATTTCATCCAGAATACATCGATTTTGGATGTCATACGTCGATGTTATGCAGCATACATTGCTTTCCTGACTCATTCATGCGTGAACAAAGAGATGTGCGATAAAACTAAAACATGAGGAAGCGGAAATAGAAATAACCGGAAGTCAGATTACACAAGAAGCCCCGGAAACTAACACTTTCAAAATGGCGGGAAATAAAGACAGACGATCAGTGAAGTTTGAGAAGCACTATGCAAGGTGTACGGATTTGGCTGCCCAACATCGAAAGATTTTTTACGTCTTTGGGTAGGCTACTGGAAAGTGCAGAGGGGCAAAGGAACACTGCGTCCTACGACTCGGCTGAATTTTTTTAGTCGCCGTTTACGAGAAAACGAAAGAACTCTTGTCACTTTGACCCTAAGAATAGAAGAAGCCTTCCCAAATGAAGTTGAGGTGATCTAAACGAACTTGTTTTTCTCATGAACGAACTTTCAGAGACTTTTAAGGAATTTTCGAGGACTCGGAACGTTCTACGTTTACTGCACCATTGTCCCTAAACGATCGTCTTTCAACTGTGGCTAGGAACGGTTTAGTCGGCAAACCAAGGCTACAGATCTTACAGCAACAGTTGCAAACTCTGCACGCCGGTTTTCGTTGAGCTGATATCGGAAGAATTCTTGGATGAGAGTATTGCTTATGGCAAAATTGGTTTTGGCAAGATACAGACATGAAAGGATGATCCCTCCTTATCTTACTTTCCGTTAACAGTTGTGTTATTCCTGGGCCCACAAACCATTTTTATTCATAATTTTTCATAGGACATAAAAAAAAACACATAGAATCATAATCACTGAGAGACTGAATAGGGGAGGGTGTAACTTGAGGTTTTAAGGAAAAAAATCTTTGTACTTGGTACAATTATCCATGACTTTACATATGTTTATGGGAATGTTTTGCTCCTTTATTGCTAGAAATTTCTACTGCTCAAATTAATACAAAATCTCTGTTAATTTCCTAAGCAGTGGCCAAGGAAAATATGCCAGTGGACCCTTCATATAAAACAATAAAATTTTCAAATCCGTTTGGGTTACTCAGGAAATGTTCCACGTTCAAAGTTCCAGTTTCAAGTTACTCAGCATATTAACTGTTTTGTTAACAGCATGACAAACTCAACACTAACATAAAAGAGCTTGCGAAATTGTCATCGAGTAATGGTCTCAAAATGTTACAAAATTAGCCATAAATCGCCAGGAAGTAATTCATGTATGTCTTTTCGGTTGTATATATGTATTTACAGCCTGTTTTTACACTTGTTAACATACTAAATAAGAAAATTGCAACGTCTGAAATATACCTCCTCAAAGGAGGGAAGTTGTTGTCAGCGGAGATGGAAATTGTTTTTACCAAACTGTTTCCCTCTGGAAGGATGAAATAAGCGATAAAAATCAAGAGGAAATCCCTAGGTCAAGTGATATTTTGTTTGAGAAAAATCCAAAGGTTTTTTAGCTGTAACTTTTCTCCTCGAACTCCGCTTTGGAGGATCTTGTCAGCAAAAGTAAGATAACGGGAACTCCGGCAGAAACTGTGGGCATAAATTCAGTTGTGCATCGTTCCTTAAGCGACTTGTTTGTACCTTCTTATCGTTGCCGAAGAAAGGTTTCACTTTTTAGCCGATTATCAAGCTGGTTCGTTTTTATTGGTCACAAAAAAGAAGTAATGAAGGTGTGTAATCACTCTAATGTATCACGATAATATTTAATGGTCAAGCACACTATTACAATCTCTAGCTGCCTCGAGGTAACTGTTGTAGCGCTTTTTTACCAAGCCAAGAAAAAAGCTAGAAATACACCTTGCGGACAGAGAAAGTTAACTGGTAGATTTTACTAGAAAACTTACGCTTCCCCTATGTCAATATTACCCAAATCAATTTCTGATAAAACAGCGGCGAAAAAGCGATAATCTCTCTCCAAAATCGTTTTTTTGGACGTCGAGTGTATTGAAACCGAGTGTACTGAATGTAGCCGGTAAACTACATACAGCCACTTTTAATTTTTCCTACTCTGCTTTCTGTTTGCACAGCATTGGTTTCCTTAAGTTGCAAATACATATATCATGGAGAACGAAGCTTACGGTTTGACCGACTCCTTCGTGGCCAGACACACTACAGACCCTACCTTACGCTTGGAACTGCTTTCTCGTAATCAAAATGGCCTACGTCATAACCAAGGAATAGGGATGGGGGCAGAGGTAAGAAAGATTGAATACAGTATAGCCTTAAAAATAAGGAGAGGGGAACTGATATTGCTTGTCTGGGACTACGTAGTCGGCCGACTGGGGGAAGGTGGGCGTTTTAAAGACAATTCACCAAAATTGAGGCTGAGATCGCCGCTTCTATTGACTACGACATTAAAACTAGAAAAAAAAAACTATGAGACCGATTGATTCAGAAAATTTGGTCGCACAAGCTTCGTCAAAAATTGATTCCGTATATAACAAAAATATATTATAAAGAATTACAAAATGATCTCACGAAAATCTTTGTTGTTTTCGTTGTCGCGACTTGGTGTTTGCGATATCTTAACAGAAGAAATATTGATAGCCAATTTTTGTTTACTTAAAATAGAAACAGCTCATAGATTTATGAGGCATCAAAACGAGCATTCCAAGCGAGTAAAATGATTCTATATCGCCCGCTCAAAGAGCTAGCCATTTAATAAACAATTTTGAAAATTATCTTATTTCGTTTCATTTCTCCAGATTGCCGGGTCAAACAACACTGCTACCGACTCGTCTGCAGCTGGTTCCCCTTCGGCCGAAGTCTTCCCAACGAACTCTCAAGCTTTAACTTTGTTTCCCTTCCCTCCACTTAACATAAGACCTTGGAATGTGGAGTCTTTAGAGTCCACAAACAACAGTCCTCTTGCTTTGGTGCAAGGAGTAGCCAGAGCAACGGTCCAAATGAACAGGGGAATGGGGGAAAGAGAACAGCGTGAACTGGAGCGGGAACAACTTCAAACGGACCAGGACAGGAGAGAAACACAGATTAGAATGAGAAGAAAAAGAGAAATGATAGAAAGAGAGAGAAGGGAAATAAGGAGATCTAGAGGACGGAGAGAATGGCAAGAGGCAGTTCCTGGACCTTGGTGCTCATGCCGCCTTGATGAGGTGATTAACATATTTTGTTTTTTTCCATGTTAATTTATCAGTAAGTCGTCTTTCCTTGCCCCTGCTCAGGGAAAGTTGTGGCAGGTTCTTTTACATCCGAATGAAATGACTCAAGAGACCAACGATGGCATTTAGAAAAAGAAAAAAATACGAATTGAAAAATGAGAAAGAAAGAAACTGTGAATGATAGGGAACTGAAAAAAATAAAACTCCTATTGATCCCATTTTCTAAACTCTAGTTCCCTGCAGTTTCGCCTGTTGCCCATCATCACTTCTTTTCACATGGACCCCTTTTAAAATTTCTTAGTTTCACCTTTTTTTTCCCCTTATTTCAGTTTGTAGGAGACACCATATGCGGAAGATGTGACAGACAGAGATACTTGTAAGTTTATAGCCCTACTAAGCTCACTCGTTAGTAATAGTGCTCACTATTCAGCAAAGTTGGTGCCACAATTGATATTGTTGCTGCTTAAACCTAGATTTTAAGATGTCATTTCTGCAATTTTCAAAGTGTTTGATTTTGTGATTCAAAAAAGGACAAAAGTTGTCTGTTGGCACCAGTCAGGTCAAGTAGCAACATTATGGGTAAATTTTAAAAGAGGAACTCTGCAAGTAATGTAATGTACTGAAGAAGTAATTTTTTCCTGGCGTTAACAGAGAAAGAAACAGTGTTTTTACCAACGCAGTAGAAAATTTTGATCAACGTTCTGGTCAATCTGGTGGCTCAGTGACGAACAGAAGCCATAGCAGCTTTGTGCTTGATGAATTGGGACAACGCGTGGATGGAGCGTGCGCCTTGTTGGAAAGAGTGTCAAGGGAGAGACAAAGTGAAGAGTTTGGTCGGGAAATTGAGAGACAAGAGCATGAAATACGAACCGGAGCTGTTCTTTCGGAAAGAACACGGAAGAAGAGAGGAGGGGAGGCAAGACAGCTCCCGGAAGTTAGCATGTGGCCTCAGCGGCCATTTCCTGCACTTCTGTGTAACTTAAGCGAGCAGTGTGAGGAGGTAAGTTAACTAAGGGCCCTGTCATTACTCAACGCCTGGAGGGGAGGGGTCGGAGGAGTTTTTTTTTGGGGGGGGGGGAAGGGCGATCACGTTGTTTTCAGACCGAAGGGTAGGGAGGGGGGAATCATTAGAATACTGGAAAGAACTGGGGGTGGAGGGGAATCAAGTACATTTTATTTCTACACATCCAAAATCCCCTGCCCCTCCCCCTCCATCGCCTTGGCGATTCGTAATGACAGTTCCTTAAGCACCACGATTGGCATAATGGAAAATATTTTGCTCTAGAATTGATCCACACCTCTTGATAGCCGCCATGTAATATTTTCCGTACACGAGTGACTAAAATAGGAGCGTTCCATGTGTAAAAGATATGCCATTCAAAGTTAGAATTGACAGAGCTATTACTCGCTTATCAAAATTTTATGGATGTTAACAAGCGTGTTTTTTTCATCCTAGAATCTAAAAGGCGAGGGTTCTGGAAGACAGAGGTAAGTACAAGTAGACTGACTACTGTAATATGCGCACTCTTTTGTCTCCTTTGGATAAGTTTAATCAGTCCGGCTCATGCTAAACGTTAATTCATCGGTTTGTTCATTAATCAACCTGTTAGGAAATATGGGATTTTTATACGCGAGAAGGATAACTACATCTCATTCTTCCTTTAGAATTTTGAAGGATAACCCTTTGCATCACGACATCTCCAAATGTAATGTTTGTCTGAACAAATGGCTTCAAGGAAAACCCAAATGCATTCCACAGTCAGGACAAGATGAATGTTGCATCTGTTTGGAGGTAATGGCTGAGATCAAAGGCCCTGATTTTAGTAACTGCTGCAAAGCACGATTGATAGACGCATTTGAGAGTCACTTTATTGGTGTCATGGAGGCTGGATGGCTAATCAATGAGTAAAGCAAAATAAATTCGTTAAACGTTGCGGGTATGGTTTAGATATAAGTGTAGCGATCGAATCAAATGGCAGGGCCATAAAACTATTACTAACACACTTAAAGTACTTCAAGCACCGGTGGATCGATTTAGCAGTTTCTTGTCTGAGTAACAGGCCATCGTACCATCGTATTTCCTTTCTTAGAGGAACTACTTTTTGAGATGATACAATTTAAATGTTAACACTCATTGATAGACTCAACTTTTCCTTTTCATCCCTTTTTGAGATCATCCAATCAAAGAACTAACCGTTCCGTCGCCTCTGACGTCCGTTCCGTTTATCTGTACACCAGTTGCTGTTACGAACAACAGTTTTTTTTCATGACTCCATCAGCGTAATGATTTCATGTGAGTCCATTGAATGATAAATAAAATCTCTTTTTCGCCCTTAACTTCAGGACGCGCTCAGTGGTTATCAGATCCTGCCATGCTCACACAAGGTTCACAGAGAGTGTGCTATTGCAATAATACAGAATGGCGTGTAAGTACACCCAAAAAGTCCGCACATCTATAGTAATAAGTGTTACTACCCTGTATAAGATGATTTTTTTATTGCACTTTTTGATGCCCAGCCACTTTGTTAGATTTCGTGGCCAAGAGCACCTCAATGAAACAGAAACTACAGTGCTTTACTTAGTTCTAAAGATAAAAAACGTATAAGTCATAGTTTGGTTTAAAATTCTCCACGCCTGCTTCACTATTTCCTTAAAATTTATTTAGGATTAATCTTATTCTACTCATTTTTCTTTCAGCCGCTACTGCCCCATTTGCCATCATCCACTGTTTGGTCTGACGTAATGCACCAAGCAGACAGACAGGATTCTGTTTTGAATTCACAATCGTTTATCACACTTTTATGGTTTAAGCTTTGAAACTGATTGAGAGCTTAAGTACAGGGTATCAATGGGGTTAACCATTAGTCATAAAAGGGCAAAAAATTTAGTCATTAGGCGTAAAAATGTTAGTGTCAAAATCTGAGACTGTGTTAAACGATAAAAGTAGAAATATACCTAATTGTAAGGGTTTCTCATATTGGTGTTGGGAAATGAATGGAAATAATACATTACCATAAGCCATTCAGTAAAAATTACAATAGGCCAGTCGATCATTTCTTATTCCTTTTGACGGTCCTATCTTACAAGTGGAATTTTGGTCACCTTTTTTCTCATTATGATCGTGAATTTGACATGGAGACAGATGTTTTTGCGTAAACTGCGGTTTGCGGCTAAATATCGGTGCATTTCCATTATGTTGCTAAAAGATGTTTAATTACTATGAAAATGACTTTACCTAATAAAAATTGATCCCGCACAGGAATTTCCTGGAAATAACCCTCCTTATACTTTTACCTCTTAAACGTTCTCGTTTTTTAGGCTAAACCCATGTCGAATTCCTGATCAGGAAAATAGTTCTTAAATTTTAATTTAGCACGTTCGACACCCCTTTTTCTTAGAGGTGACTTAAGGCGTGAATGTGTAGTACTTTTCATCCTCCGCATTGAATTTATAATCAGGTTACTTAGACGAATAGCACGTAGCTCTTTTAGGGGCGGTTCCTTGGGTACGCCCTTTCTTATCCGAATTTTCTGTTTATTCTGCTCTTATGTAACAGTCTTCGAGGACTATTTTCTCTTCAGATATCTTTGTAAGTAAGATTCTAATTTTGTCAGTAAGTTCCTTATAACTTTTATATTACCAATCTTGTTTTTGTTTTGCCCGATCTTGACCGTAAGACTAAGAAATTTTAGGCAGAAAGTCATTTTGTAAATCGTAAACATCTCGAAGGTATCTACTTTGTATGCGAACTCCGCTCTGCGTAGCTTAACGTGACTCGCTAGTTAAATGTAAAAGGATGACGAAGGTTAGAGATTGACAGCTCAGTAAGTGTCACCTTTATAAGCGGTGACTATCACTTTCCTTGAGAGATAAGAGCTAGTCCCCGTTGTACTAACTTGTGTAGTAAAAGAAAAAATAAAGAAAGAGTCAACTGAACAAAACGAATATTAGAGTTCTACATCTAACAACTGTTAAACGTCTTGCCTTTAAGTTAACGCAGTTACGACGGTTACACATCTCAGAGTATCGATAGTAAAAACATTTTGGTTATGCTTAGAAGACGTATTGTCGAGGGTAGCCAAAAGATCGAGCTATATTTGAAGAAATTCCACCACCCACTTTTTTAGAAAAAAAAGTTTTGTAAACAAAATACTCCAAAACCAGCTAATCAGGCAAATCCTATACAACGGAACAGTTTCGGGAATTTCATAGCTCATATTCTTTCAGTCAATAAAAAACGTCCACTGCAAACAACCGAGTTGAAAATTTCCTTTAGTGTCTGATAGTATCTGCTCATTCGAACAGTAATTTAAAATAAGGCTCATGAGAACTTAGATATCGTTGTACGAGTATGGTCATCTCTGCTCTCAGTGAGGTATGTGATAGAACTGATTTGCAAGAGGATGCCCTAGGTGATTGAATTTACACTTGACATTGACGAAGATATTCATTAGGTGAAGCAACAAATTCAATTCATTTTGATTTATATTAGTGCATTTCAAGAAAGTGAATTTGTGAAGAGAGGCGAGCGATTCTTCTGAGAGGGATCAGTAACCGCTTCCGTTAAATCTAAATGTTATCTTCGTTTGACGAAAGAAAAAAAGTGAGCGTTTTACACTAGAATAAGACCCCCTGTGATCAAGACCGTTTTTTTGACTAGCGGACTAGTTTAGACCGATATTCTTGATAAAGTAATAAAGACCCGCGAACGTTGGTAAGTTACAGCTTACTTTGTGATTATTTTACGAGTAGTTACGACTCAAAGCGAAACTTATTGCTGGTTTTTACTTTCCTTTTTGGTTCTTTTAATTGCCACGTGCTTTTTTCAAAACTGAGATTATTTTTTAAGCTATGATCGCACAATACTTAGGTAATTTCTTCATGTTATGATTTATGTTGACCGCTTCGATATAAGAACGTCCCAAGGAATGAGCTATATTGGTTTGGCGTCTATGGCATGCGCGTGAAACAACCCGAGAATCGAGATCCAATTCTAGCTTATAAGGGAAGTATTTATTGGAACTGTAAGTTCGTGTTTGAAAAAATGTGTAACCTGCATAAACGAAAGGTAGAAGGTTTTGCACTGTTTGTGGTTGTAGTCTACGATTTTAATAAAACAATCCTGCTAACACCACTAGCTATAAGAACCTTGCCAACTCTTGGTGATCGTGCATTTACTGCTACTGCCGCTCGTCTCTGGAACTCCTTGCCAATAGAGTTCAGAGAGGAGCAGAGTCTTGATAATTTCAATTATACATAATCAGTCACGTTTCTAAAAGTTATCAAATGTTCCAGTATGTCCGTATATTTTAATTATGGTCTTAGTCAGAATAGGATTCTTATAATAATGACTGACTTTAAAGATGGAGAGGGTGATGATTGTATGGAGCGGCTTCTCTTTAAAAAAATGGAGCATGCTTGTGCTCATGGTATCGAGTATGAATAGCCTTTTTTCTTCTCTCTTCCTCGTCCGCTGGTGTGGTAGGCTGGTGGGGGAGGATTTAGTAGAGGATTACAATGCTTTCAGGGTAGAAAGGAGGGGGGTCAGTCGTCGCCGACAGACTATAAAGTGGGACTGAGGGGAATTGACTGCCAATTTACTACCAAAGAGGAGGTGGGGGGGGGGGGGAATCATGAAAATATCACGGGGCCTTATGAGGGGATCTGGTAAATTTTATCTTGACACAACCGACATCCTCAACCCCACCACCCCTCCCCCTCAGATGATTACCAATGACCGGTTCCTTAGGTATACATAAATATATTTTTCTTTTTACTCAGATCGCCTTCGCAGTCTTCTTCCGCCTGAAACACCGGAGGTATCTCTTGAGCCCGGCACTCCAGCGTGAGTATTGTCTTCCTTAAACCATTAAGCTCTAAAATCAGTATGCATATTCTCCATACTGTGTTTCACACATTTCCTAAGGTGCTGACAAGAAGAATTTGTGAAACAAGCAAGAGCTTTTTTGGTTGGCGTTCATTTCCTTTATTATAATGACCTGAATGTTTGATTCTGTGGTGATATTGTAAGGAGAAATTAAATCCTGGTCAAGGGTTATGATCTAGTGATTCAATATAATAAGACGTCAGGACCACTGGCTTAGGAAATCAGGAGGCAAACACCTAGGAGGGGAAAGGAATAACATCCGTTTTTCTTGTTACTAATTTCTTTGTCGTGTTTATTTATTGCAGTCATAATTTCCAAGTGAGCTACAAACTGGACGTGCCCAGTCTGTACACTGATTTTCAGGAACATATCGAGCTTCACTTCTCTCTTGGCTGGCAAGCGATTTTGAAGAAGCTCTTGGCGCCTCATAATGCTAGAATCGCCATCGCTTTGGGGGCGAATGAAAGAACACTCCTTTGTTAATAGAATGACGAAGAATGAAAAAATTTACCTGTGTCAAAAAAGAGTTAAGATCGAAGGAGCACATGAAAAGCGTTTAAAAATTTGTAATGTAATTCTAATTTAAACAAGGGAAATGGCTAAAAGCCATTTCTGAGTTGTTGTTATGATCCATCACTACAGCCTTTCATTCTTGTAAGACATTTGAATGCTCAACCGCCAAAAAACACAACATGAACAAACTGTATTCGGGAATGACTTAAACCTTCACTTTATCTCATTTTAAGTTAGGAAAAAGAAAGAAATAGGCGGTGGTTGTGTGGCTGACTACTTTAAATAAGTGATGATGTTCCCAACAAAATTAGGAAAAAAGGGTTGTTGTAGAAGGTTAGGAAATAAAGGAAAATGGAAGAGAAAGAAAATTTTCTTTCACTTGGAATCGATCCTAAAACTTTTCGCTTTAGAAGTGAAGTGCAATCCATCGCGCCACAGTTGTACTGAAGTGGGATGGATATCTCGCCCCTAGATAATTTATTTTCGAACTGCAGTAGCCCATGGCAATTTTGATCTGGTTTAAGATTCAGCGAAATGTGTAGAGCTTGGTACCTACCGCACAACCGTGTTCCGCAGAGGCAAGAACTGGGACTAGTTCACAGGCAAATTCATTACGTGACGTTATGAAACGTCCTGAGGGTGATGACGTCACGTTGACTGGGTTAGCTTCTCTAACGTCACGCACTGGTACGTTGGTGGTCATAGTTGGAGGACTAGTAAGGGTTAAAATATTTTATTGAGCCAGAGAACCTCAGACATAAAACACAGCGGTCAAACGTCGGGCATGCGCAAGGGGATCAATTCTTGCCGGCCGTGCTTCAATTTCCCACGTAAAATTTCAAAGGAAAACATTGGAAAAAAACCGCTGTCTTGCAAAGTAAGCGAAAGGAAATTGAAAAGTTCATAGAAGTCTACTAGAGGAAACAAAAGTAGGGAAAAGGAGAACGTGGGACTTTCCTAACTCTAAACTTTTTCATGTACTGGTATCCTGTTGATGTACCGAACTTTTTTGAGCTTTACCTGATAAAATTCTTTTGAACACCATAACTTACTGGCTTGTGTGGTTGTTGGTAACTCGTGTGAGACAACTTTTATTTTACAGCCTCAAAGCGCACCACCCAATCATTACTACTTTCGCACATGCGTATACGTTTGACCAGTGTACAGACAAATCGCATCTCTCAAAAACGTGATGTGAGTTTCCACGCAACTTTACAGATGTATGTGTGTCTACTAGAAGCGTCCGTTTCAACTGGTGTTTTTCCAATCGCAGATTTGGAAGACGGTAGGATGGAAGTTCATAGCTTTGTGTGGTGGGTTATACAGTGGAGTGTATGTAATTG